AATCTTCATGATATTTATTTTTTTACCCCTTTATTAAAAGCCCAGATGTTTTTCAATTTTCATCAAGGCAGGAGGAGAGGTATAAAACATAAAAGAAATATTATATTAATAAAATTGAAAAACATCTGGGCTTTTAATAAAGAGGTAAAAAAATAAATATCATGAAGATCTTTGAAGATCTTTACACAAAATTTTTAAAAAATAAAATACTTTAAATTATACGATCTTCAAAGATCTAGATCTTTGAAGATCTTTTTATTTTGAGCAAATGTACAACTCTGGAGTGAAATAATAAATATAATAAAGAAACTAAAAAATCACAAGGCGTGTGGTCAAGATAATATTCGTAGTGAATATTTAAAAACGGACCCTATATTATCCGCCGAAATACTATTCCCTATCATATCGAGAGTATAGAAGGAAGGGATTTGCTACCCTAATTAATTTTCCCAAAAACTAAGTACCCTAAAACTCTAGAGGATTGGAGAGGAATTTCACTAAATTCTATAATATATAAGATTTTCACTAACATTATCCTAAATCGACTCAAACCTTTTATAGAACGAGATTATGTGGATTCAATAGTTTCATTTAGAAAGGGACATAATGCTCTTGAAGCTATTCTCAACTTAAAGATTCAAATAGAAAAATCTATAATACGGAAAAGGCAATTAATAATTATAGCTCTTGATTTTAGGAAAGCTTTTGATACGATTATTCATGATAGTTTATGGAAAGCATTAGAAGAAGTTAATACTCCAACTTCTTTGGTAAAAATATTAAAAAATATCTATAATGATTACTCGATACAAATTATCCATGCGGGTCATAAATCAACAAAAATACCAGTTAAGATAGGTTTGAAACAGGGATGTGTCCTTTCTCCTCTTCTTTTTAATTTTATTACAAACTATATCATAAAAAGAGTGACTAAACAATATTTGGCTCAGATTCTCATCGTGAAATTTAATATTCTTGCTTTTGCCGATGATATTTGCATTATAGGAGATTCTATATCACACCTCCAATTGCTAGTGGACATGATGACCCAAGTTGCTGATTTTTTTGGTTTAAAAATAAATATTGATAAAACAAAGTTGATGACATCAATATTCTCCCCTCCAAACATGAATCTAACGATACAAGGGAGAAAAATAGAAGAAGTTCAACAATTAAAATATCTAGGAGTGATACTGGATAGAAAAGGAAATACTAAACTAGACCTAATAGCTAAATTAAATAAAGGCAGACTGAAATATAGATCTTTTATGAAAATATGGAGTTCGAATCAAATATCAATTCCTTTAAAGATTCGATTATTTAAAACTTTAATATTCCCCTCCTTAATCTATGGTATAGAAACTTGGAAAGATACCAAACAAGAAAGTAAAAAGATGCAAACTTTCATTAACAAATGTCTTAGATATATTACCAAAACTTTCCACCCGTATAATACTTCGAATCATAATCTTTGGTCCAGATGTGACATCCTCCCTATATATAGACTATGTGAATATAGGAAAATCGAAATATTAGGGCACATTCTCAGACAAGCCCCAAACAACCTAGTATATCAAGCCCTTTTTATTACCCCTTTGGAAGAATCATCTCTCAAACCTTTCCTATCCTACAAAAATAGTTGGTTTGGTAGAATAAATCGATCATTATCGGACATAGATCTATCTTGGGAATTCATAAAACGTGCTTCGTTGGATAGAAAAACTTACAAAATCGCATTAAGACTTATATACGAACATTTGACGAATAATTGCTGAGAACGTAACAAGTAAAGAAGAGTAAATTAAATTTATTTTAGTATATTATTTAAAAATACAATTTCATATATTACTTTGATATATAACAAGTAAAGATGAGTAAGTAAAGTTATTTTATTTTATTATTTAGAAATACAATTTCATATATTGCTTTGATATATATCTAAGAGTTGAAGTTATTTGAATAGGGCTAAGTAAATGAAGGCAGATTAAATTAGTGCACATTGTAAGAAAATTTCTAAATAGATTACAATACATTATGAGATTTAAGGTCTAATAGATTAAATAGATAGATATTTTAACTAAATAATTATAAAAATTTAATATAATTATATCTTCTAACTAAATAATTGGGAACAAATCGTAAATAAACTAAATGAAATTTAATAATCATAATAATAATAATAATTCAAGACTAACAATAAAAAAATAATTTTTTAGAAAAATAACTAATATATAATAATTTGTATTGGATGATACAGTACTACTATTTTTTTTTCTTTTAAAATATGCTCATAATCTTATTCCCTACGCTATTATTATTATTGGATTGGGTGAGTTCCACTCTTAATAATTATATCTGGGTTACAAGGTTTGTTGGTATCCTTGAGGAAAAAATCGGCATAATTATTATGGAGGATAGGGCCTCTATAGTAATTCACGTTCGCTCATTTTGGGCAGGTCCATGACCAACGTGCTAGATAAGATAAGATAAGAGATATAAAGTAATGAAAGAGAAATAGTTGGCTTGAGGATTTAATCTAGAACGGTTATTAGGATGGTCGCACAGGATAAAAATTAGACAGAAAAAAGACACTTTATTAAATTCGATAGTCTTTATTGATTATATTATTAGAATATTGACGTTGATGTAATATCTTTTTATTTTATAATATGGTTATACAAAAAAGAGCAAGTGGTGTTCGAAAATGAAAATATATATCAATATATATATATATTTAATCCCCTTGAGATGTATTTATATACATGTTAATTTCATTGAATAAAAAGGTAATATGAACATATTTAAATATACAATTACAACAAATTGAATAAGCGAAATATTTAAGAAGTATTTAAATATACAATGAATTACAACAAATTAAGCGAACATGTAACATGCACCACTTCCAAAAAAAAATATATATATATAAAATTAAAGTCTTGAAAACACAACATGGTACAAAAAATGGGGAAGGAACGTTTGGCATGCGGGAGGTAACTCTTATAATGTTAAATGAGTAATAGGGTTAATATTTAATGTTACAATAATGGTTTCATTATTAAAATAATACCCAATACTTACATTAAGATTAACAAGGAATTATATAAAAAATAATATATATATGGGGATAGTAGGAACTACAATTGGGAAGGGAGAATTATTGTCATTATTTCCTTCTTTTTTTTGGAATATAATAAACAATTACATTTGGAAAGGGAATTATTGACATTATTTCCTTCTTTTTTTTTGGGATATAATAAACAATTACATTTTGGAAGGGGAATTATTGTCATTATTTCCTTATCTTGGAATATAATAAACAATTACAATTGAGAATGGGGAATTATTGTCATTATTTCCTTCTTCTTTTTTTTTGGAATATAATAAACAATTACATTTGGTAGGGGGAATTATTGTCATTATTAACAATGTAACATTAATCATAATTATAATAACTAGGAAAAATGGAATATGTATGATGTTTTAGTAACCAACAATATATAAGTAAAAAAATATAATGCAATATATTCCTATTGATAATTTCTAATGTGATCAATATGAACAAAGAGAAGGAATTATTGTCATTATTAACAATGTAACTTATTAATCATAATTATAATAACTAGGAAAAATGGAATATGTATGATGTTTTAATATTTGTAACCAACAATATATAAGTAAAAAAAATATAATGCAATATATTCCTATTGATAATTTCTAATGTGATCAATATGAACAAAGAGAAACTTATCATCTACCTGAATTTCCCAAATGACGTTACTAATTCTCCTAACGACAATCCCCACACGCCATTCTTAATTGGAGCCCACTTTAATAAAGACAAAGTTGCTTAATGTTAATTCTCTGAAATTTATTCTTTTTACATTGGGTCTATTATCACAGTCATCGTCTTTTAAAAAACTCCATTTCCATCTTAACTCCCTTCCGAATAATCTAAAAGCAGGTGATGACTTATTAACCGCATGTTTAGTGTTGCGATAATTTAACAACACATCTTCCAAAATGTCATCCCAGCCTCCTAATTTATATATCATATTTTTTGCTGAGCGTACAGCTCTTTCAGCCATACCATTTGACGCAGGATGGTATGCAGGAGTATATATATGTAGAATTCCCTTTTCTTTTAAAAAGTTATTAAAATCAACAGGCCTAAAAGCTGGTCCATTATCTGATACCAATTCTACTGGATACCCAAATCTGGAAAATATATTATTTAATACCATAATGGTGGTAGTCGCATTAATGTTTTTCACCTTAATTATCTCTAACCAGCGAGAGTACCCATCAATAATTACTAATCCGTAAAAATTTTTAATAGGTCCAAAAAAATCAATAAGACTTGGTACCAGGGTTTGTTAGGTTGTACCCAATAATTTTGTTTAACTTTTGGGAGTTTAGGCGCATTGATCATGCACATATTACATCTAAAAATTATTTCTTTAATATCTTTATTGACTCCTGGCCACCAAAAATACCTTTCCATAGTATCTAACATCCTATACAACCCAATATGTCCCTCATGTAACACACTAAGAAACTTTTTTCTTAACCTTCGAGGAATAATAACTTGTTCGCCCTTAAAAATACAATAATTCTTAATATTCAACAACTTACCGAATGCATTGTAACCTTTAATCAGCGTATCATTTTCACCTTTTTCCAACACAATTTTTTTAACTTGGATTAATTCTGAATCTAGAAAGGTTTCTCCTTTAATCAATTCTAAATTGTTAATTATTCTTACATCCTTCATATCATTATTAACATTAACAAAACAAATGATATCTTCCTTAATTAACCTTGATAATCCATCAGGAATGATTTGATCCTTACCCCTCCTATAATTAATGTCAAAAGCAAAACCGGCTAAACAAAAAGCCCATTTCTGTAATCTTGGAGACATATTGTAAAGCTTAACTGGATCTACTCCAAACAAATTCACCAGTGGTTTATGGTCCGAAAAAATGTTTTTAAATCTCCTACCTACTACATATTCTTTCCATTTTTTTACTGCCAACAACAGACAATCCTTCTTTTTCAATAATTGAATATCTTTTTTCAGCTCCAGCCCATGCCTTAGACATAAACTCAATTGGCCTTTCTAAACCATCTTCTTCTACCTGAAATAAGACTGCACCCATGCCTTTATTGGACGCATCCGTTGAAATAAACAATTCCTTATTTCTATCATAATGTGCAAGAATTGGTGCATTACACAATTTTTCTCTAATTTCGTAAAAACTAGTTCTTTCATTGATTCCCCAACAAAATTTCTTACCCCTTATAAGTAAATCATATTAATTAGCTGCTAATTTATAAAAATCTCTTATAAATCTAGAATAATAATTCATAAGACCCAACCAAGAATGTAATTCATCCTTATTCTTAGGTTCGGTCATTGTACTTATAGGATCAATTTTTTCTTTGATTGGCAGTATGCCTTTGTCACTTATTAAATAACCTAAATATTTTATACTCTCTTTGTAAAACTCACTTTTTTTTATATTTCCAATCAGCCCAAATTTCAACATTCTTTCAAACACTATTTTCAATTTATAAAAATGGTCTAACTTATCCTTACAAAAATTAACAAATCATCTAAATAATAAATGACCCCCTTAATATCAGCAAATATTTCGTCCATAGTCTTCTGGAAATAAGCAGTTGATACTTTAAGCCCAAAAGGTAGTCTAGTAAATTGAAAAAGACCCTTGTGGATGGAGACGGTCAGAAATTTGGAAGTTTCTTTAGATACAGAAATCTGCAGATATGCCGATGAGAAATCTATTTTTGAAAAAAACTTTCCATTACCTACTTTAGCAATTATGTCATTAGTCCTTGGAAGCGGATATTCGAACCTTTCTAATTGTCGGTTTACACTAACTCTAAAGTCAGCACAAACTCTCAACGTATTATCTTTTTTTTAACTAACACTAATGGAGTGGCCCATTGTGAAAATCTGACAGGCTTAATTACTCCCTGCTGGCGCCATTGCTCCATAGTGTTTTCTAATTCTTCTTCTAACTCGAAGGACACTCTCCTGGCTATCACAAATTTTGGCTTAAAGTCATTTTTTAATAAAATATCTATTTCCAAATTTTTGACTTTTCCAATTCTATCATTAAAAACACAATCAAATTTCTTAATTAGTTTGTTGATGTCACAACTCTCTTCAAAATACCCTTTTTTAGTAAATAACGATTGAATGACATAATTTTTTTTATAAAATTTATCAGTATTTTTGAAAGGATTGTTAAAAGTTAAAAAATTTACCCTATCTCCTATCTCATTCTTATTAATAGTGTTTAAATCAACGTTGAATTTGATTATGTCAAATTCTTTAATCCAGTCTTGACCACATAGCGGTGGTCCCTCTCCATCCAATACATACAAATTTAAATATTTAATTGTATTCAAATATTTAACCTTAATATTTGAGACCTGACCAACGACTGTGATAGGAGAACCCTCATAAGAGAATAATTTTTTAGAACAATTTTCCAACTCAAATTCTTCATAATTCTCCAATTTTCCAATATCTTTAATGGGCAAGGATGTCACCGGAGAACCCGTTTCTATCAAAAAAGAAAAATTTAGATTATTAAGTTGCATATTAATCATAAAATCATAAATAAAATTTATCTTATTCCTTGGCCTCAAATTATATGGAGTTTGTATCATTTATTGTTTTTTGAAATTGTTGTTGTTGTTGTTATTGTTGTTGTTATTGTTGTAGTTGTTGTTGGCCTTAAAATCCTGCTTGTTCTCTTTCCAAGACGAATAGCTTTGCCAATCGGCTATATCCTCTCTTCACCAAGAATCTTTCTCTACATATGTTTTATTATTATTAATCTTCAACGATTGAAATTTGACAACAATGTCCTCTATAATATTAAGCTCTGTAGTATTTTCTTCTATCAACCTTGTTTTTAGCTTGATAAAGTTAGCTAAAAAAAGGTAATTTTGTAAATAATTAAAAAAAATTTTTTTGAACCCCTGAAATTGTAAAGGCTAATGATGCCCCTTGCCCTTAGCCGTGGTTGTAATGCAGTTGTACCCTTCATTTACGCCGGTTTTGGCCAGCCCATTATTACCAACATTGTAGGTTCTCCCGCAGACGTAACTCAGCCATAAATCCATTAATAACATTCTCCTATGCCCTCAAAAAAGTATATTCCATTTACTCTTGAACCATTGGGTCTTTCAAATGATAACACTATACGCCTGGATGGTATATCCTTTCTTCTGGACGAACAGTCTCTTACTGAACTGTTAGGAATGTTCGGAAAGGAGGTTCTAATTTTATCAATGCTATTGGTAAAAAATTAAGATTTAATAGAGATGACCTCAACGAAGGATTCTACCTTCGTCAACAGATTTCACTCAATCGCCTGTCCAGGTGATAGTTTCCTTTTTTTAAATGTTTTTTAAAATATATTTTATTTTGATAATAATCCATATTGTATCTCTTTCTTATTTTTAAATTGAAACCCTGTTTTAAAAATTTAATAAATAATATATATAATTTTTTTAAAAAGTTGCAAAAGTACAAGATACCTAGCATATATCACCGTTTTCCCCCACTAATAATAAATTTTATTAAGCAACTGAAATTTTCTTATATTTAAATTGCTGTTATATTATTACTTATTAAGTATATACAAATTATTATTATTTTTAGGATCAATTTTAATTTATCAAATTCAATGCAAATTTGTACCATATCATATAATTCCTTTATTTAAATTAGTAAAATCATAATTATATATTTATTCATACCAATATAATTTTTGAATTCTCATAAAAATCTAAAAAAAATTTAAAATAAAAAACATATTTAACATAATCACGATATAATTAATTTAAGTATAAGGGGATGTTGATAATCTTTTAAATCCTGCAGTTCAATAAAAACCATGGCATTTTTTTCATATTTAATTTACAAAAATAAATGTTATAGTCTTATGATTATATCAAGGTTGTCAAATAGAAATAATAAGGGATTAATAAATTGCCTTATCAACTTTCGCCATAAGCTTCCATATTTCCCAGTCAATGCCAATCATTATAAACACACCCTTTAATTTCATCACTTATTCCAATTATTTGAACTTCATCTAGTTAATATGGTGAAGTTATAATTAGAAGCATACAGCGATCAATACAATTATTAGCCGTATACTCTCATGAGGGTCTGTATACCGAACATATTGGAGCCTGTTAATTTATCATCAGATTAAGGAGGCTATTTATTTAACTTCAGAACCTGAATCTTTATCTATAGGTAAATTCTTAATTTGGGCAGAGACAGTAAGAAAGACCCAAAGAATTTTATATTCTTAAACAAAAAAATTCAAATCATTATTTTAAAATAAAATTAAGCTTGTTTTTTGGGAACTGGGAGTCCTCCATTCATTTTTATAAATGACCATTTTTATATTTTTATTTTAAATTTTGTATGAATATTACATAATAAAAGTTTAACTTATTTGAAATATGAATATTATAACTAAGCGCAGTAAATGTTTTCCATCAAACAAAGAAACAAAGATTTTATTTAGATGACCTTGTCCAAAAAAAAGTTAAAGTCCTTGGCCAAAAGTCTACAACTTCTACGAAATTAGATACATTTTAGTAAAGGAGTTTTTTAAAAATACACTATAAATTTCAAGATGTTCTGTCAGTCATATCCTGCCATAAAGAAATTCTGCGGTTTGATATAAATGATTCTACGAATCTCGGTATACACTATAAATTTATGTTCTGTAGTCATATCCTACCATAAAAAAATTCTGCGGTTTGACATAAATGACTCTACGAATCTCGGTTCTACGTCACCAAGCCTACATTGCCGATAAAAGTGTAAATAATACCAATAGTTAATCGTGTGATATAAAACTCACACATGATAGAATAAGATTTAGGTCTTCATTTGGCACATTATTTGTGGTGCCTAAGATTAATATTAAATAATTAGATAAAGAATTTGCATATTTTGCAACTTTTGGGGTATAAAAGCTCTTATTAGTATAAATTAATAATAAGTTTACCTGAAAAAGTTATTAAATATTGAGAGGTGTGCATCATAATTTGTTATCTTACGATTAAATTTCCGACCTTAATCTTTATTAGTTTTTTTTAAACATATCACATGTTCTGGGGACCTACCCGATCTCCCCTATATGTCCGTTAAATTTTATATAATTTGGCTATGAACTCTCTATAATATTAAGCTCTGTAGTATTTTCTTCTATCAACCTTGTTTTTAGCTTTTCATTACAATTCAACATAAATTGCACCGACAAAAATTCAGGATTGAGCCCCGAACCATACCCTTTCAGCCTATCGAGATACTCTCTGGAAGAAAGTCTGTCCGGATAAACAAAAAAGAGAAATTATAGGCTTGAGGATTTAATCTAGAACGGTTATTAGGATGGTCGAGCAGGATAAAAATTAGACAGAAAAAAGACACTTTATTAAATTCGATAGTCTTTATTGATTATATTATTAGAATATTGACGTTGATGTAATGTCTTTTTATTTTATAATATGGTTATACAAAAAAAATCAAGTGATGTTCGAAAATGAAAATATATATCAGTATATATATATTTAATCGCCTTGAGATGTATTTATATACATGTTAATTTCATTGAATAAAAAGATAATATGAACATATTTAAATATACAATTACAACAAATTGAATAAGCGAAATATTTAAGAAATATTTAAATATACAATGAATTACAACAAATTAAGCGAACATGTAACATAAAGAAATAATATTTATTATTGAAATTGTCACATATTTCTAACAATTGAAATAAAAATAATCAGACTTCCAAATAAAAACCATATATCCAAAAATAAAAATTAAAAGAAAAAGAAAAAAGAATATGCAATTTAAAAATAATCAAAAATGTATGTATTCAATATTCCTTTTCTTCTTTCTATTTGTCACCACATATATCTTCATATATGACAGACCTCTCGTGGTAATTCATTAAGCGGACTTCAGCCGTAGCTTAGGCTAATTTACGATCATCTGATGAACGACGGGTATGACTAAATACTGCATTGTTTAATTGCATTGCTAAAATGCATCTAAAAAGTAATCATAATCAATCAAAATTTTATTATAAAATCTTTTTTTAAAAATAATTTTCAGAAACATTTTTTTAATATACATAAATCAATTTTTTATTATATAAAACATGGATATTAACAAATAATTTATAATTCTATTCAGAGACCTGCAGAGGTACCATTTGCACGGCTCAGCCCTGCCCGGATTTTCTTTCCAAAATTTTTTACGGCCCAGCCCGGCCCGGGTTTAAAAATTTTAGGCCCGGCCCGGATATTTAAAAAAAAATTGTTTGGGGCCCGGCCCGGCCTGGATTTTATAAAAAATAAATTTAGGCCCGGCTCGGAATTTTTTAAAATTATATTCGATCTTGTATATTCAAAAAAATCATCTATTTGGTATTTTATCATATTTTTAGGCGAGTATTATCATTTAATAAGCAAGCATATTAGCTAATGTTGTTAAACGGCTCGTTCTGAGCCTATTTTAAAAACGGCTAACTCAATATTTTCTCCAGAAAAATATTGACTAAGCCTCGAAATTTCGATACTATATTTAAATTAAATCTAAATTTCGAAGAACTATAAAAGACCTTTTATGTAGACCTTTGCTCCTTCTATGAACAAAATTTTCAGGCTTGCATAATATTTTTTTCGATAAAAAACTGAGTTAGCCGTTTTTAAAAATCGGCTCAAAACGAGCCGTGTAAGAACACTACGTACATATTTTTTTTATTATTCTAAACAGATATTTAGTATATTACAAATTGATACTATAAAAAATTTGTGTAAATAATATTTTGAGAATATACTATATAAATTGTATTTATAAAAAAAATAAAACTGATATTTTAATTAATAAAAAATATAACATATTATTTATTGTATTTAATTTACTATTTATAATTAAAAATATATATATATAAAATCTAATGATATATAAAAAAGAAATATAGTACATACTCGGAAAAAAAATATATATATATATATTAAAACATAACTGTTTAATTATAACGAAAAAATATTTTTTTTTGTGGTTAAAATCTAAATAGAGTTGCGATGCAAAATATATATAAAATTAACAATGACTATATTTGATAAACTAGGAGGGAAATGGGAGTGTTTCGAAGAAACATTTGTAGTTCCCCTTTAGGATTTCAAATTGGACTTTTTGTTTAAGAGATAGGGACTCGTTTTTGACCCCTGTCCTTAACGAAATTCTTCTACCCAATTGATTTAAGAACTTTAGGGATTGGGGACCGGGGTTTCCAAGGACGCTAAAAATTAGGGGAATAAATATAAAAGAGTTAGGGAGGAATCTATATTTATTAAACTTATTGGTTTCTTGTAGTTCCAAGGGGTCGGTATTTCCGTTAGCCGGAAAGGAGGTAACACAAGAGACGTCCCAGACAAGTCTTTTGCCGCCGTGCCAAGACGTTAAAGACATGCCGTCAGGGCGCTTACCGTCAGCATTTAGGAGCCCCAATGGCTCCAAGCTATTGGGGAAACCGGCCGAAATCAAGGCTTTGCCGATTAACCTATTAAGGTTGTCGTGCCTCAGGAAACGGCCACTGACTTTGAGGCACGAGAAACAATGTCTGGATCAACCTGTTTGTGACAGGCGGCACAGGTGTCCACAGAAGGGATAAGGCAACCAAGCCTATGGCCAATGGCAGTTTGAAACTCATCGTCTGTGAGTAACGTTTCCTTTTTACCACTCGGAATCGCGTCTAGCCATTCATGGCCGTTAGAGTTTTTTTTGCGTTTCTGAGCAGTTGAAGGTTAGTTAGCTCAGGATACATACAAAGTTTTTCAAACGAGCATTGATAGCATAGGGACCAGGAAGCTCTTTAGATGGCAGGAAATTGGCTGCTCGGAGCCTTGGGTGATTAGAGTAAGCCACTCTTGTTTAGCTGAAGATAGAAGGGGATCCAACTCGATAAGCGAGGAAATAGAATCGGCGAAGGATATTCGAGATGAAAGAAAACACGCAATTGCCATAAGGAAGGGGGGTAACAATCCAAGTCCACCCTGGTAAGCGGGCATAGAGGCGAGGGACCAATTGAAATCGGAAAAATTTAAGCCTAAAAGGGATTCGATAAAATGTTTAAATTTTAATTCGAAGACCTTAAGGAGAGTATTGTACTGGAAAACGGGGGAAGATTTAAATAAATGTAAGAATTTAGGTAGAAAAAGACATTTTTTGGTGAGAAAGAAGAACTGATGTTTGGGGAGATGAGGAAGATTCTTGAGTGAATTGGAAAGGGAATGGATCAAATCGTCAAAAGTTTTTTGACAAAAGGAGATTGAAAAACCAATAGGGGAACCTAAAAGACAGAGTTCCTCATGCGGAATGATTGTAAAATCTAAGGGAGGAATAAAATCCTTATTGTTGAGGGAGGAAATTTCACACTTTTTCCTATTTAGGGAAAGACCAATTTTCGAAGCTTCCATTTCAACGTACTCTATGGCCGACATAACATTGGATAAAGAACCGCCAAAAGAGCCATCGTCGAGATACCATAAATTAAGGTCTAATTGGAAATTAGTCTTTAAATTTTTGATCAAATCATGAATCCCTATAGTAAAGAGCAGGGGGCCTGAAAATTCCCCGAATTTGAGTAACGAAGGGAATCCATAACAGGAATTAAGGAAATTCCCATATTTTGGGAAATGGTGTAAAAAAGATGGTAAGAATGCCCTCCTATGGATGGTGTTGAAGGCATTTCTGAAGTCTAACTTGCAGAAAACCTTATCGGCCTCAGTATTTATAAAAATACGCGCAACATGTGAGGCCACTTCACACCCACCTCTCACTCCAAATCCTAACTGTGAAGGAAATAAGAAGGAACTAGCCTTAGGCCGAATCCTATTTACGATAGCCTTGGCGACTAAGCGACGAAAGAATGACCCTATGGCTATGGGTCTAACGCCTCCATCCGGTTTGGTCAAGGAGACAAGACGGGCGCCAAAAATAATAGGACGAATGCAAAGGGGAACTTCGCGTATGAGGATATTATTGCACAGTTCGGTTAATGCTTTCAACAAAGGGTCAATGAAGCCACTATCAGGGCATTGAATTAACTCCACAAAGAAACCAGGTCTGAAGCCGTCCAACCCCCCTGTCGTCCCTTTTTTAAAGGACTTTAAGCACTTAAGTACTTCGTCACAGGTAAAGGGAATAGGGGAGGAGGCATGCGGGTGGATGTTAAAAGGGGACGCTCGTGGATGTTTTTCAAGAAGTTGTTTAAATATGGTAACGTTGATAGGAGAAATAGAGTCATCGGAAGACAATATTCGGTCCGCACCGCTAATATCTCCAAGATCTAATTTTTCGGAGATCAATTTGTGACGGAAGGAGTTGGGGTTTAAAGCGTACGAAGGAGAAAATTCATCGATAATTGTATTTTCAAAATTGGAAACTTTTTCCTTAATTAAGGCAGATAAGTTATTTATTTTATTTTTGGGTTTAACTAGGACTCGAAAACAAAAACTAACCAGGTCTAACCATAAGGGTAGTGAGGAGAAATCCGAATTCAAATTATTTATAAGTGACATGAGGAACCTAGAGATAGACTCTCGGGCGGCTATAGGGATCCTAGAAAGAACTGGGGGCTTATGCGAATTAAGGTATAAATCAACAGAGCTTGAGGAACATGGTGGAATGGGGTCATACGAGTGAGGAGCGTTAATTAAAGGATCTGGGCCGTAAGAGAGGGGAAATTTTCCAGAATTGTGGCACGCGGGTGAACCATGTTTCCTAAACACGCCATTTAAATTAAGCGAAACTATTTTTAAGCATACTTGACAACAAGAGTTAACCATGAGATGGCTTTGAAAGGGAGAAAACACAAAAAAAAATATATATATTAACGGATATAATTTTGATTGGAAGAAAAAAAAAAAGATGAAATGGGGGAAAAAAAAATCAAAATTGGGAAGAGAGGAATACCTGATCTATCCTTTCAGAAGTATTATCGAGATTAGAGGGGTTGGTAAATTTGAAAAAAATAATAATAAATAAACAATAATATTTATAAAATAAGACTAGGTACAAAAAGTATAAAAAGTATTATTACGAACAAAAAAAAAGGGGGGGGGGGGTATAAACAAGAAAAAAGGGGGAAAGAAAAAATCAAAAATTGAAAGAAAAAAGAAAGATTATGAACAATCGAAATTAGGAGGGTTGGTAAATTTAAAATAAAAAAAAAAAATAATCGAAAATACTGGTAAACCAAGAAATGCAAAAAAAAAAATTAAACTTTGTCGGGGAAATCTTTAGGGTGTGGTGGTAAAAAGAATTCAAACTTAAGGAAATTTTTCTACGGCCGCAAAATAGGGAAATCTTAAGGTTGTCTTAGAACTATTCGTTACACAAAAGAAGTTAAGCGCTTCTACTATTTGAAAAAGAAAGTTTTGATAGGACAAGCCTCCCTCAATAGTGCTTTCAGCGAATGTTGATATGTAGTTGGAAGAGCGATAATTGATTATTTCGAATATGTTGGCATAATATTATATCATCTTTGAAGAGTGTAGATAATTATATTTTAGAAATCGACATTTTAATTGGACAAGATGTCTTTTTTTTGGGAGAATTGAAAAGGGACGATATTTTCCGTGAATGGAGAGAACATTATCTACGACCTTATATAAGAAATTGTTGGAGAAAATCATAGTAGGAAAGAATAGTCAATTTCGATAACTATGACCGGGCATTAGTAGAGGCTCAGGGAATAAGAAAATCCAGAAAATATAAAAACCGGAAGAGGAGATATGCTCAAAAATAAATAAAATATTGTTTTTTTTTTATTGCTCGAAAATTGTGCTTTCCGCGAATGTTGATAAGTAGTTGGAAGAGCGATAATTGATTATTACGAATATGTTGGTATAATATTATATAATCTTTGAAGAGTGTAGAATTATTATATTTTAGAAATCGACATTTTAATTGGACAAGATGTCTTCTTTTTTTTTGAAAGAATTGAAAAGGGACGATATTTTCCGTGAATGGAGAGGACATTATCCACGACCTTATATAAGAAATTGTTGGAGAAAATCATCGTAGGAAAGAATAGTCAATTTCGATAACTATGATCGGGCATTAGTAGAGGCTCAGGGAATAAGAAAATCCAGAAAATATAAAAACTGGAAGAGGAGATATGCTCAAAAATAAATAAAATATTGTTTTTTTTTTATTGCTCGAAAATTGTGCTTTCCGCGAATGTTGATAAGTAGTTGGAAGAGCGATAATTGATTATTACGAATATGTTGGTATAATATTATATAATCTTTGAAGAGTGTAGAATTATTATATTTTAGAAATCGACATTTTAATTGGACAAGATGTCTTCTTTTTTTTTGAAAGAATTGAAAAGGGACGATATTTTCCGTGAATGGAGAGGACATTATCCACGACCTTATATAAGAAATTGTTGGAGAAAATCATCGTAGGAAAGAATAGTCAATTTCGATAACTATGATCGGGCATTAGTAGAGGCTCAGGGAATAAGAAAATCCAGAAAATATAAAAACCGGAAGAGGAGATATGCTCAAAAATAAATAAAATATTGTTTTATTAAGATTTTTGTTGTTAATAAAATATCGATTTGGTTTTTTTTTACTATATATATATTTTTAATTATAAATAGTAAATTAAATACAATATATTATATTCTCAAAATATTTTCCATTTTTATAAATTAAATATTAGTTTTATTTTTTTTTAAACATATATTATAAAATAATGTATTTAATTCTTTTCGTATTTATTCCATGGCAGGAAAACTATAATTATATTATGTAATAGATACTATGAGTGTTAGCTAGTGTTAACTTTCACAAAACATTATATTAATCAGAACTATATATAATCATTATAACCATATCTAATTGACAAATATAATAATTCATGTTGTATAAATGTTTTAAAAAAATGCGGCTGGGCTGGCCCGGGTATTAAAAAAAAAAATTTCAGGCACGGCCCGGTCCGGGTATATTTTAAAAAATTTTAAATACGGCCTGGCCCTGGGACCCGGGCCGGGAGGGGGCTAGTGCCGCGCCTGCAGGTCTCTGATTCTATTTTTACTTAATATTAATGGGAAAAAAATATATTTACCAGCCTTATTTTATTTTAGATTTTAAAATTTAACATATATATATACATATCAATCCAGAATGATTATTGGTTAGCATTTTTTTATATTGGGGTGAAATACATGGGGAAAACCTAAAAATTAAAAAAAAATGATAGGTTACTTTGATATTTAATTTATGAGTAGGTTGAGAATCGTAAAATAATAGAAAACTTGTAAGGCACATATTGCTAGTGTTATTGATCAAAATCTCTACATTTCTGTTTAAGAAAGAAAGAAAGAAAGAAAGAAAGAAAGAAAGAAAGAAAGAAAGAAAGAAAGAAAGAAAGAAAGAAAGAAAGAAAGAAAGAAAGAAAGAAAGAAAGAAAGAAAGAAAGAAAGAAAGAAAGAAAGAAAGAAAAAGAAAGAAGACCAAATTTGCTAGTAATATCAATTGAAAAGTGGTCATTTTTGTTATATATATCTATAAATACGTGTAAAACATTATCCAAAAAAATATTTTAAAAATAGATTTGCAGGATAACGACTACACTTACTAAATATTTTATTTTTTCTCTAATATATCATAAAAACATTCAAAAAATAAAAGATAATTTTATTAAATTAATGTCAAACTGAAATTGATTCAATAATTATCAAAAAACATAGAGAATAAATATATATAATTCAATGAGGATCAGATATTTTATAGTGTTTTCCTCTGTATTTAATATACATCACTTCCTCATATATTTCAAAAATTATTTAACAAATAGAAATTATGAATAATAAATTAAAAATATTTTTTAAAAAATTTAATATTTGTGGCGATATGAATAAAAATTTAAAAAAATTAACATTTGTATGCGATGTGAATGTAAATTTTTTTAAAAAAATGGTATTGTATGCAGGGTTGCCATGTCTCCCCCCATCAGTGGGAGTCTCCCACAATTTTTTAGTTTACCCACATACATCTCACTCCCACAAAACTCCCACAATTAGAAATCTCCCACAAAAAGCTCCCACAATTTTTTAATTTCTCCCACAATTTTTTTTTTAGCATTTTAATGTTTTTAATATATAAATAATAATTTTGAGAGACAGTATTTGATTATTTTTATATTTTTAAAATAAATTTTAAATATTTATTCGAAAAATATGTCTAGTTCTTTTATTTTATTTTTCCTCTCTAAAATATATTTTTTATAAAATTCTCCAATTCTCCACTCGACATTTTCAAAATTTTTGTGTTAGAAAGAATAGAAGTTAGAACAGTATGTATAATTATTATAAATATATTTTAAATTACTTAATATATTTTATATCGTTATCTAGAATTGCAGTGCTCCACTCGACATTTTCAAAATTTTTGAGTTAGAAGACTAGAACTTTTAGAAGTGGATATTATATCCCATATACCAAACAGATTTTAATAATAAAATGTTCTATTTTGCTAATAATTTTATCTTACTGTAAAATTAAAATAATATATTAAGCACTAAACATTGATAAAATTTTCAGAATAAATTATTTCAAATGGCTGTTCTGGCCAAATTAATAGATATTTAATATAACTTTGCAAGAAAATATTCAGGGCATACTTTTTAAATAATTTTTTACTTTATTTTAAATTTACAAAATTTCGATTTAAATCAATTTTGTATATGCCATATACTGCATAATTCTTGCAAGAAGGCAATGAATGTACTATCTGTAGATGTCGAAGTAATTGTGATGAAATGTTTTAACGAATTTAGTTCATCAACTAAAAGAGTCACTGAATTAAAAGAATTGGTGGAGTGGTCTGATTTGGAATGGTGTGAGTTGTTGCGATATGTTTCTATCAGGTGGTTATCATTAATACCTGCCATCGAGAGAATTTTAAAATTTTACGAACCCTTGAAGAAATACTTCTTAAATAAAGATATTAAAAGCTGTCCTAAAATTTTGAAAAATATTTTCGAGGATGAAATGTCAGAAGCATATTTGGGATTAGTTTCACATGTAGGAAATCTACTTCATGTAGTTAATATTCAGTTGCAATCAGAAGATTCTTTATTGATAAAGGTTCACAAAATCATGCTACAGCTCTGTTCATCTCTACAGTTAAAAATAGATAATAAATTTTATGGCGCTATTGCTAAAAATATATTAAAATGTTCAAATATTACTATAATTAACGTATTTTTAAATGAAGCAAATATTTTTATTAAGGAAATTTTGGAATATTTACAATCAAGATTTGATTTTAATAACTCTATTTACAAGTGTATAAATATTATGACCTTGGAACAGAAACCATCATTTGATGGTTTTTGTAATTTAATAAATATATTAAAATTACCGATAGACATTGAAGCCTTGTTTGAAGAGATTGTAATTTTTTCCATTTTTCATGATTCGCCAGAATACTTAAAGTTAGATGGTCTAAAAGCAGAGGAGAAATGGGTTGAATTTTTTCGTAATAACGATAAATCCCCATGCTTGGAAAAAATTTGCGAGTATGTTTTTTCCTTACCTCATTCTAATGCCTCATCGGAGAGCATTTTTAGCCTGATGAGGACTGCCTGGAGAAAGGAGAGAAATCGAATTGCTTTAACAACATTAGAAGCCGAGTTAATGGTTAAACAAAATTATAAAATGTGATGCCAGGAATTTTATAAATATCTTAATAACGACGGTAAACGTTTAGTTCCATTATTAAAATCTTAAATAAAATATAATTAACTATAACTATTTGACTTTCTATATTTTATAAAATCTTATTTATACATTTGCATAAAATCAAATAAATTTATTTTTTACATTGTAAAATTAATATTTTGGCAAATCTTAAAAATAAAGAAGCATTATAATCTCCTCAAACATGACATCATATTAAATCTTATTAATAATTATCCGATAATAGTAATAATATTCTTACTTTGGTATTTCTGTAACATAATTTAGTGAACCTTTATTAAATTATATTCTTCTGATTGCAACTGCATATTAACAGCATATAGTAGATTTCCTATATGTAAAATTCCTAAATATACTTCTGCCATATATTTTTGAAAATTTTTTTGAAAATATTAGGACAGCTTTTATAATCTATTTATTTTTTTAAGGTTTGTAAAATTTTAAAATTCTACGATGGCGCGTATTAGGAGGAACCTGTCAACCAACATTATGCTGACTCAATTCTGTAAATACACTCTAGTTTTTGCCAAATTCACTGAGGAATTATCAGATCAGAAAGCTGCCATGCAATTCATTGGTAATGCCAAATCTGCCATATTTACCATTATATATGGTTAGCTATGTCTTTGGATATTTCATATCTGGAGAAAAATTTGTTAATAGTTTTATTGAAATGACATTAATTTTGTTGAAATAGGGGAGGATCAAGGGAAATGTTTTGATATCTCCTTATTAGATGCATCTGTTAGAATTGCATATGTTTGCACATCTTTCAAATCGTCAAGAATTGACCTTCTGGATTTATATCCTAAAACTATGATGATAGCCTTGCTCATTTGTGTTCTACAAAGTATACTTTTCATTTATATTAGTCGTTAAATATTATGGGGAAAGATTCTACCAACATTGTGATGTTAAGTAGCTCTCTGAATGTTGTACTGCATGATAGGTATTTACCATTTCCGCAACTGTAGTTGCATCTGTATTATTTCTTATTTTTGAAGAATATTTTTGTTTTGGATGTTGATAGATTGCCCTGTACTGATTTATGCTTTCAAGATTTTTGATGCCTCAAAATATCATATTCCTTTCCCCCATTGTATTAACTAAATACTGTAGAACAACTTCCCCGCACTGATTATTAATATTTTTTACATTGTAAATTTAAAATTGTTTGTTTTTTTATAAAATCTTATTTATACATTAACATAAAATATATTTTTTTACATTGTAAAATTACAATTTTTTTATAAAATTTTATCTTGTTTACATTCTTTTGTATTTAAAAAAGATCGTTGGTTAATATTTTAAAACAAAATTAATATATTATAATAAATCAATATGTTATTTTAATAATAAAGATAGTATTTAAGAAATTTTATGTCGTACTATAATTACCTATTTTGAAAAATAGTTGCGTATTTTATTTTGGAAAATAGTTACCTATTTTATTTTGAAAAAGAGTTGGATATTTTATTTTGAAAAATAGTTGGCTATTTTATTTTAAATAGTTGGCTATTTTATTTTGAAAAATGGCCCGCAAATTTTTTTTTTAGCAATTTTCATATTTCTCCCACAATTTTTATATTACTACCACAAAATACCGAATTTCTCCCACAATTTGAAAATTTTGACCTGGCAACCCTGATTGTATGTGATATGAAAAAAATGAATAAACAAATTGATTATATTGTCGTATTGGGATATGGAATCATGTGGGATTCGGAATCCCTACGTTTTATTCGGAATCTTCTTTTTTTAAATATTTTTTAAAAATATTTAAAAAATATTCCGAATCCTCATGAAAAAAAAATAAAATAGTATAATTTCTTTTTCTTCTCTTTTTTTTGCGGCTGGCACCATATATTTAAAAGGCCAAAATAAGGGATTTAAAAAGAGAATTTAAAAAATAGTATAAAATTAAGGCATATAATGAAAGAAAAGGGATGAGGTTATAAGACATTTTTGTTTTAAAAAAGATTAAAATATATATTTATAAAAAATCCAAATTATTGCAACAATTATTCAATGCAATATGGCATTTCGTTGAGCATTTAAGATTGTTCTTCTAACATTCGCAACTTTTATTCATGCTTTTAGCCAGGGATCCAACCCGAGCCTGAACCGAACCGTCAAACCGCTAAAAACCGATCCCTTTTCATTTATTATATGCCTTAATTTTATACTATTTACTTTTTTTTAAATTCTCTTTTTAAATACCTTATTTTGGCCTTTTAATTATATGGTGCCAGCCGCAAAAAAAAGAAAAGAAAAAGTAATTATATTATTTATTTATTTTTACATGGGGATTCGGAATATTTTTTAAATATTTTTTAAAAAAATATTTTAAAAAATATATCCCGAATAAAACGTGGGGATTCAAGTGGGATTCCGAATCCCACATGATTCCATATCCCAATTCGACATATATATGAAAGAGAATACGACGTTAAGGGCCTTATTATTTTTCAATTTTAATTTTTTTTATTGATACTATACTATTTTTTTTATTCTAATTTTTTGACAAGGTTTTTTTTAATTTTTAGGCTATAAAACTACTAGTTCTTCTAACAATGACATAACCTCTTCTCTTTCATGTTTTTTTACCATCTTTTATTAAATTTTCTACCTCATATTTTTTATCTTCCTCGCTAAATTTTTCCCAGATAAATCTAATTAATACCCCTCAGCCAAATATTATCCTCCTTTTCCTATCAAAGCTCTTTCGAGATCTTTTTCTTGTATTTGTACCTTATTATATATTATATCAATTAAGTTCATTAAATGACGTGATTACCAATTAGTATTACTTTTAAAAACAACTTATAATTTTATTTTTTAATGAGATATATACACATAATTGTACCTATTATTTTCTAAAGTGTAAATATATTATATAAAAAAAAATAGTGAATAATTTTGCAAAATTTAAGTAAATTATTGTTTATAAAAAAAATATCATCAGAATTGGAAAATGCTATATGCATTTAACGCCCTCTTATGGATATATATATTTGTTAAATTTTAAAATCTAAAAATAAAATTTAATAGTAATAAGCTAGTAAATATATTTTTTTTTCCCCACTAATATATAGAGTAAAAATATAATTAAAAATTATTTTATATTTAATCTCAATTTTTTAAAATTGATTTATATATTTTAAGAAAAATGTTTCTGAAAATTATTTTTTAAAAAAAATTATATAATAAAATTTTGATTGAATATGATTAATTGATTTTTAGCAATGCATTGTTTAGTCATACCGGACGAACGATTGTTGAGGCGAGAGGTTATTATATATTTATTTTATGAAAGGATAAATACTTTATTGACTGTTAATTTCAATGTTTATGATATTATTGCGCTATTTCGTCGCATATAGATAATGATAATTTATAACTATTCGTAGTAAAGATCTTAAAACCAGTAAATTTATGGCCAAAGTTAAGTAGCTCAAGGAAATAAATTTGACTATTATTCCATAGATTATGAGAAGCAAATGAACTTTATAAATAATTTTTCTGATTACAATTGAAATAAAATTATAAACGTAAGAATTACATATTACGCCACAATATGTCTTTTACTAATGATAAAATATTTATAAAATACTAAAAATACCTTAATGTAAAATAATTAAATAGATAAAAATAAATAGATATTTGTATATAAATGAAATAGCTTTTTGTCTTGATTTTTATCCCTCACATTCATAGCTATACATCACTCTAATACTTCAATTGGGTAGGGTGTGGTTACACTCTTTTTTGTTAACTATACATCTGTGTTACCGGGTTTGTTGGTATCCTTGAGAAAAAATATCGGCATAAGAATTTTGCCAGATATTTATTTTAAGAATTGACACAAAATTAAGTATTTAATTTTAATAAATTACATTATTATTTTATAGGAACTCAAAATAAAATGCAGGAGGTAATTCTAAGAAAATCGAATATTAGTTCAGAATACAGGAAACTTTATTCATGATATGGAAGAAGCCATAAGTTCTTCGTTTATTGACAATATGGAAAAGTTTGAAAAAACTATATCCTTGTTAACATCCTCTTTACGAGGATGTGGATATAGCCGAATGTCTCGGCATTTATGGCTTTGGCATTCATAAGGCTTTATTTTAATTACAAAATAGAATTTAATAGTTTATGGTGATATAAAAATAATAACACAGCAAGTTTTCTCGAAAAAGACAATAATAATTTAACAAAGTATTTATACAAATAAATATTATAGGATGAATCGTTCTTATCAATTGTTTTGCTGTATTATTGATTCGATTTTGTTTCTTTTAGCCTTCTAAGTCCTCGGAGTCGATCGAAATATCCTCGATATTGTATGTTATTGTCGAGCTGTCATTGTCGATATTGTTATTGACTTCGTGGTAGTAGTGATAGACTGGAGATTAGCAAAGGGGTACTTGTGATAATTGTATCTGACGTATCGAAGGCACTGTTTCTTCACCTAATAGAGAGGTCTCTTGTTCTTGTAGTAATAGCGGCCGTTGTAGCGTCACAACGGTAAATAAGTCTCGGTGTTCCCTTGCCATACCCTTGATGGCTCGTCCGCGGGATTTTCATCCGTCGGAATCCATTGGATGTTTTGGGATATGGCCGTAAAGTTCGTTAGTCCCACTTGGGTAGCACTTGAGTGATGACTGTTTCGATGGCTGGGGATCTAGATACTCCTTTTCTGTATGTATAGTAGGCCCCCGTGGAATAGGTGGAAATTATTGGTGCTTGGTTATCCTTGTGGATTGCCTTATCGCACCAATTCCTACCGCTAGGACCTCCTTTACGTTGGTGTGTTCGATCGCATGGGTCGGAATGTTGAACAGGAGGCAGGCCTCTTAAAATGATACCGACAAATCATCGATCCCCCAGAAAGATATGCCGATATGTGATCCAGATGCGTCCGTATATACCGGATTATTAGCGTGGTATCTAATTAGTGGCTCTTTCCGCATTTATAATTGTAGCAGCTTTCTGAAAGGTAAGATACGTATCCACAACCAGCGCTAGCATTAGCATCCCACCATTCATGGTCACGTAGAAGGGGGAGAAATGTCTTGACATACCCGTGATCGTGTAAGCGTAATGGTTGACTACCCATAGGACCTTCTGCTAGTAGTCGCCTCTCTAAGTGCTGGTAGGCATGCCGTCTGAAGATCTTATAACACTTTTCTAGCCTCCTTCTTGTGCCGGTGTTCGCGCTGATTGTTTTCGCCTCAAGGTCAATGGGAACCCCAAGGTTCATGATGCGCGGCGTGGGGTCAAGGACAGACTTTTCCTGCGATATTTTTAGTCCCCATTTTTCGATGGTACATCTCAGTGATCTGGTTGACCACTTTACATCACCTTCATTGTCTCCGTAGATTCGAATGTCATCTAGGTAGACGTTTGTAATGGGCCCTTCTGACTGTTTTCGCACGCATCTAGGATGATGGATTGCAGACAATAAACGATGCACCCATTGGTAAGACCTTGTAGGCGTAGCTGGTCCCATTTATGGTGAACCCAAAGAATCTCTGGACCTGTTGCCCTAACGGTATGGAAAAGAATGCCGATTTTATATCGATTTTGCAGGCGAATTTTGTTCTTTTTAGGTTTCCCGACATTAGAGGTATAGACTTTAACCGAAAGGGATAGTGCAGGAAGTTCTTGGATACTTAGGAGAAGTCACCGATGACTCTGGGGTACCGTTCGCCTTGGGGATCACGTATAGTGGAAAGCAGATTTGGTCGGAGGACCTCGTACGTCAGCTTCCAGCATCTGTCTTACGATATCCGCATACCTATTTGCTATGAAAAAGTTGTTCCGGTGGCGGAAATAAGATTGTTGTTTTCGGCGATTCTGAGTTGGTCCAATCTCGATCGGATTCCTCTCATCGCCACTTTCTTGGTAAACCTGGACGTGAGCGGCCCTGGCTTTAACCTCGCTCTACTGATGTCCAGGGTGGGCAATGCTCGTTGCTCGCATGTTTTTTACCGATACCGTTGAGGATACCAGGCAAGTTCAGTGACTCCACCTGGCGCATACCAGAATCATCGTCGATGTCGAAAATAGAATTCTCGAGGTCGAAGATGATGGATTTAACTCCGCTGTCATTCCTGCTGCTCGAGGCCCACGAGGTTGTAGTTGGGTCCTGGATCAACCATTCTGGGATGCCGGAATCTTCGGACTAAAAGGAGGCCACGTCCGACTAGGAGTCAGCTGGTCGACTGATTGATTATTGTCGTTTTCGCTTTCAGTATCCAAGCCATCGTCAGGGGAGAAGAGTTGACGCCTTAGTTCCCTTAGGTAAATGTTTACCCTTTTTAACCAGTCTGGAAACTGCACTGGCTCCCCTCTTCGGGCCGGTCAACCGTCGCCCGGATTAGCACTTACCTAGGGTGCTTGCGGTGGTAGCCCTGAAAAGGGTTGTTGGGCAATAGGTAGCCCTAAAAAGGGCTGTTGGGTATTGGGGGGGGCGGTAGTGTGTAGATGAGGAATTAGAAGAAAAGTGGTTAGCGGGAGGAGTGTCACTATCGGTTTGTGGACTATTTCCTCTTCGCGCCTCTCGTGGCGGGCGCCTTCTTTTTTCTGGGAGGCTTCGATAGGAGGTTGAGGGGCTTGCACGGCCCCTATTCCGAAAGGACCGAGCATCTGGGACGATTTTTTATCTCTTCGGCCCCTAAGATTAGCTCCTAGTAGGACATGTTAGACCAATTCCAATGAATCGCCAGGACTAGGACGCGGATACGCTTGGTCATTGCGTCTATCACACGGGTCTGAGTCTGCATTGAGGATTTCGACTACCTCTTTTATATTCTTGTTCTCATGCCGATCGCATTGGCCTTGCATTTGGGTTTAGCCAGATCCGTGTTCAGCCCTGCCCAAACTTTTGTGAGTTTGGCATACCTCTCCTCATTTGTTAGAGGCAATTTTAGCGGCTACGGCGGCGGAGGAGTCGGGGCTCTACTCTCTCTACGAAGTGGAGGTTGTGCTTCTGTGGCTTGTCTCTGCCAGACGGTGATCTATCCCTGTGGCGTGACTTATTTCTGTACACTCTGGTAACCAAAGTTTTCAGTCGCAGCGAGATTGATTGGATTGTGCCATCATTGCCACCATTGCATCACTAGGCGGAACCTCGAGAGTTATTTGGCATCAGCTCGCCAGACGCATGTCCTAGGATGTTTGGATTGGGCTGTGACGTTTGCGGGTTAGCCTGTCCCAGGATATTAGGTTGCATGACTTGCGGATTTTTGGCCTGACCATAATGAAGGTGATATAAAAATAATAATACAACAAGTTTGCTCGAAAAAGAGGTATGTTAAAATCATATATTATAAAAAATATTATTTTGTGGTATAATAGCTTTAAATCTAGCAGAATAAATATCATATTTTATATAAATTTTTATGTTTAAAATTGATTTACTTATATCTTGGATATACTATCACAACCAAAATAATTTAAAGGTGTTAGATATTTGTAGTGTTAAACCTTAATTGATATACATATCATGTCCATGTTAAATTGGGAATGTGTAATTGTACAAAGGGTTCTCAGGTTAATATATTTGATGGTTCCATGTCAATTTGGCGCGGAAAATTCAGCGCGTATCTATTACAGTTGCAATTTATTATAAATTACTTAGTATAAAAATATAAGGATGATTAAATAGAAGTCATTTTGAATGTAGGTATTATTAATTATTTCTTCATATTTATTTTTACAAAAATCTCAATTTTATTTACTAAATGTGTAATATCAAAAAAATTAACTAATATTTATACCTATTTCTTTAATGGACCAATTTACCACATTATAAGGAATGTTGATTAGTAGCCAATATTATGTAAGCCTGGAGATTTTGCGTATAGAAGGAAGAAAGAAAAAATATTGGTTTATTTTTTTTGATATTACACATTTAATTTTTGATTTATAAATTAGCCTAAGCATAATATTTTTTTTAAAATGAATTAATAGAATTTAAGGAATTTTATTAATCTAGAAAAATGAGTCAGTTCTTAATTTGATTTTTTTGGATCATGTCTGGGTCTTTTTTAAAAATGGTCGATTTAAATTCTAGCCAAAATAATATGTAAGATTCAAGATAGAGGTCCAAACTTTTCTTTCTTCTATGGCCAATCGGCTTACATAACATTGGCTATTAATCAACATACCTTATGTGGTAAATTGGTCAACCAAAGAAATAGGTATAAATATTGGTTGTTAATTTTTTTTGATATTACACATTTAGTAAATAAAATTGAGATTTTTGTAAAAATAAATATGAAGAAATAATTAATAGGACCAATATTCAAAATGATTTCTATTTAATCATACTTATTTTTTTATACTAAGTAATATATAATAAATTGCAACTGTAATAGATACGCGCTGAATTGTCGCCGCGCCGAATTTTATGCGCAGAATTTTCCGCGCCAAATTGACGTGATACCATATTTGATACATATATTATGAAAGAATTCAAATAAATTTTTGTAGTACCCCTCTATACGAGACACTTGTTGCCCTAGTCCCTCCTTTTATCAACCCTTGAAAGATATTGAAAATTATTTTTAAGTCCTGATTTATTAAAAACAATAATAATAATAAAAATTCGAATAGCTTCCATGAAATTGAAACCTTTTCCAATAATAATAATATTATTACTGAAGTAGAATTAATGACATCAGAGGATTCTGAAGATTTAATCAAGAATATATGCAATATTCAAGGAATAAAATTATTTTATCACATAAATTAAGAAATGATTTAAAAACCCCAACTCAATTTCAGCATTATTTTTTAATTAAAAAAACTTATTATTGAAAGGGATCAAAGATCCATGTCCAACCTATTGCTATGGCTAGAAGAGAAAATAAAACACAAATATAATATTAGCTAATCTTTTATATATATTATTTACATAACTAATTTTTTATAACATTTTTGGCAACTCTTTTTGTAGATTTTTAGCTTTCATTATATTTTCTTATACATCTTATATAGTTGAATAAATTTATTTTAAAAATAATATTGCTGCATTTATCACAAATTAATTATATTATATATTTTTTTTCTATAACAGAATAAATTTATTACAAATTAGTTTGTGTACACAATTATTTTCATTTCAATTTAAATGCTAGATATTATTTTGAGGTTAATTTTGAAAATATTCTGATGATTGAATTGATAGTTTAGGGATACAAGTTGGTTGATAGTTCTTTTGATAATCATTACTAAATATACACTTTAGGGTTTTAATAGCTATATTCATAGGAAGTCTTAATCATAGTCTATCAAAAAAATGAGAACCAACTCCCTTTATTGTTTAAAAACACGTAAAGCAATATAGGTAAATCGAAAGTTAAAGACTCAAATTGGTATCTAATTTTTTTCTTATATAGACTTTTAGAAATTTTTTTTATCTACAATTTGATATATTATATTTATTTTTACTAAGAAAAACCTGTAACTGATAACCTCTACCAGAGTTGGGCAGTACAGTGAATATTTGTATCTAAGATACAAGATCCTTTTGTATCTTGTACTCAGTATCTTTTGACATTTTTAATAAGATACTAGTATCTGTATCTAAGATCTTTTATTCTGAAAAGACTTGTATCTATTTCATTTTCTTTACAAAAGAAACAGATACAGATTCTTTTTAATATTTATGTTTAAAATTTTACATATCACAGTTTATATTTTATTTTCTTCGAGAATCTTGTATTAATTTCCTTACTTTTTTAATATGATGACAATCAAAATTAGCTGGAAAATTTACAACTCATATTAAAGTAGATAGATAAAAATAACAACACCAAAACTAAATAAGTTAAGATTATATTTTATATATAAATTTTACTCGATAGAATATCATTACCAATTTTATTTAATATTTTTTAATTTGTAGGATGATTAACACTCATGGTAGTGAAATTTTAAAGAAAATAAGTTCCCGTGGGAAATTTTTATAAAATAATAGTTAAAGAGAATGAACAGGTTAGATGTAAAACCATTATATACAAAAAATGATAAAGGTTCAAACACAAATTTTGTTAAACATATAATATTATTTATATGTGGTTAAAAGGGGCATAGGTTATCTTAAAAATTAAAGTTTACAAGATGCAGTGTCTACATGACAGGATTTTCACTGGATGCAGACACCCTTCAAAAACATATGCCTACCCCCCCCCCCAAAAAAAAAAAATTACCACCATCGAAGGCGGCGATGTTTTCTTATTATTAATTTCACCTTTAATTATAATAATACTCCATTAAGAAGATTTAAAAAGAATAACTTAATGTTAAATATTAAAATTGAATATTATAATTTTTGTTTAAAAGTCTAAAATTGAATATTGTATTTTTTAGTTTAAAAGGTCAGTGTAATAAAAGATAAATAAAATCGGTAATGCAAGATGAAATTGTAAAGGACATATGTATTTTTACTTTGTTAACATGTAAATACGCTATTATAAAAAATGTATATATATGACAAGATTTTGTATATAGATATATATAATAAAATTGAATTTTAAATATCAACAAAAGTTTTCCCGTTGCTTTCTACTAAAACAAAATGGTGGCAGCGTCGTTCCAAAGAGCCAGATATCATTACAGAACAATTATTTTAAATTATATAAATTAAAGAAAGGTAACAATATAATATTTTATAAATTTATCATGACAAAATCGTTATCTAATGTAAAAAGTAATATAGAATATCCTACATACAACAACAATATAGATACTTACATTAAAAAATTTGAAAATTTATTAAAGGACACGCAGGTTCCCGAGGCAGAAAAAGCTAATGCGCTCATTCAAAGATTACCAGAAGATGACTATTTGGACCTGGAATCCATTTGCGTTCCATCTGATTACAACGATTTGAAAACGTTACTGGAAAAATACAGGCTAATACATCCCGATAAATCAATAGACACGTACAAAACGGAATTCAATGCAGCCGTTCAAGATAAAGGGGAAACATTTGGTAAATGGGTAACTAGACTATGTAAGTTGAATAATAAATGCAATTTTAAGGATCAAGAGAGAATAATTGAGAAGATAAAAATATCGTCGAATAATAAAAAAATTAGGGAGCAGATATCGAAGTTAGAAAATATAACTATCACAGACATATTAAGAATTGAGAGAGAGATAAATGATGGGGATGATTATGAAAATATAAATATTAAAATGGATAATATAAAAATAGAAGGTGATGCAGCATCAACTTCGACGATAAATTTAGTACAAGGAGAAAAAGATGAAAAGAGAGAATCAAATAAACAAATAATAAAATATGATTCGAACATACCAACGAATAGGAGTTATGGACAATCCTGGACACCTAGATACAACAATCATCAACAATGGCAAAATAATTACAATTACAGATATCAAGGTAATTACTATCCAAGACATCAGAACAATTATGAACCAAGGTATAATTGTCAAAATAATTTTAATAATAGATTTTACAACGACAGAGAATATTACACACCAAGATCGTATAATAGATTTTCGAGATTTAAAAATAATTATAACAATAATAATAATTACAATTTTAATAAATATTATGATGAACCAAGGTTTAGACCTAGATACAATGAATATCAACATTATCGTCATCAGAATTTCGATCAATCACGTAACAATCGATACCAAAACTATGAAAATAATGAACAGAGATACACGAATAAAGTTAATAAAGTGAACATAGAAGAAATAAACGAGGAAAATAACGGCAAATCAGAAAACAAAGAAGTTGAGAAAATAGAAAACAAGGAATACAATTTATTCAGCTTGGATATCAACAATTTAAATGATGATAATAACAAAGAATATGATGCATATAAAGTCACATTATATTTGAACGACACACCTATTATTATGCAGATTGACACCGGATCCCGTTTCACAATATTACCGATAAATATTGCAAGAAAGATTGGGATAAAGATCTTAAATAAATCGGATACTAAATTAACTGGATATGACGGAAGAACAATAAAAGTGATAGGCAATGCCAATGTAAAAGCCAAATACGATGACAAAACCAAAATTTTGAATGCATATGTAGTACAGAGTGACAAGATTGCACTCTTGGGAAGGACATGGATAAAAGTTTTTAAAAACATACTTAATCAATTTGTGAATTTAGTAGAAGAAGATAACAATAACGACATTCAAAAACTGATAGACGAATGTAAATCAAAAATAAATATGAAACCAATAAAT